CATGCCCTCAGGGAATGTCTTCCGGCAGCGTGGGCATGTCAGCTCTGGCACTGCTTAAATGCAGCCATACCACCAGCGCGTGAGGTTCCCCTCCGCGATAGGATTGAAGGTCTCTTGATCGAAGCGATCGTTCCTTGGTTCCCGCAGAACGTCCGGAGACGTATAGAGAAACCTGTTGCCGACACCGAAGGCTTCCGAGCAACAGAAAGCATCGGGGTGTATGCTAGCGGACGCTTCTGAGCTTGTGGAAGCAGATCGTCAACCACCTCGTAATCAGTGGGGGGCCTCCTGGAAGATCAGTGGTCTCTTCAATGTGACGACATCTTTCCATTGGGCATGATGATGCTCGAAAAACTCTCGCGACGCCTGACAGTTGGAGGTAATGTACCTTTCCAACTCGACGTATTCTGGAGTGCCCTTCCGAGCCTCGTTAGTCTCCCACTCGAGGGCGGCTTCCGATGCCTGCTGCAGGGACTTCTTCAGCCCATTGTACCCATGATTCCCCCACAAATACTGCGACAATGCACAATGGGCGATTGATGCGAACACCTGGATCCTTGCTCTCAATCTGACAAGGCGCATGGCGGGGCATATAGACATGACCCTTGCAACTTGTTGCACCCGGAAAAATACCCGGGCAGATGATCGCCTGCAAAGAGGACCATGACGTGTAGTGGTACACTGGTACACAATCTTGAACTCCTCCGGGACCTCGTCGTCAGTCAGGTGGTGACAGGATGGAACCGGAATCCTGGGAAGGGTCCCAACCTCCATGTCACCCACCGTGTGCTCATGACCCATGCCGCGGGGGTGCGCTGGCCATCGGAGGCTCCTTTCTGGGCATCTTGGGCGCAGGCTCCGAAGACGACCATGCGGCAGCAGCTGAAGACTTCTGAGGTGGTCCTCGCGGAGAAGTAGATGTTCCAGCCGGCGGTGCCTTGAATGGTAATCCAGATTTGGCAGTCGGAGGCTCTGGCTTCGGAGAAGCTTCACCAGCTCCGCTCTTGGGTGTCGGTGGAGGGCTCGGCTTTGGCAATGCCATTGGCGAGGTACCCATGCAGAGACTCCTTGGGAAGTGCTGGAAGCTTTGTGTGCGAGATCATGGTGGCGTGGTCCTTCGTCGCAGGCTTGAGGAAATGCCCCACAGCATCACCTAATGACCTGAGCCACATGACTGGCTCCTTCGAAGGAGGAGGAGCCTCGGCTTTCGAGATGATATCATTGAGGCGGCAGGGTGACCTGCGCATCATCCATGTAGAGCTCTCTCTCCAATTGCCTCTGCGTCTCCTCGTCGTTGATTCCCTAACACAGTGGGGTAATCCCAGGCACCTATACTGGTAAGGTTATTCCATTCCTTATCAAGTGCGGCTTGAGCAGCAGGAGTGTTGTTGATCTCCTTCTGCCCCACTGGCCTTGCCACGAGAGCATTTTTAAAATGAGAGCACATGAGCAGCTTGTCTCTGTGGCACTGGTTTCCACCATGCGACCCCCCCCAGATTGGAGATGACCGGCGTTGCGGGAACGAAATCTTCTGGAACAACTTCCTCACTTTTGGGTCCAAGTGCAGCTGATGCGGCCAATCTATTAATAACGCTGTTGTATTTCTGTTCCCTGGCAACAGCTGCATCATGTTTCTCAGCTGCTCTCAGCTGCTTCCTTCACAAAGGCTTCTTTCTTGGCCCTCTCTCTAGCCGCTTTGGAAGCCCCCCGCCAAAGAAACGTTGGAATGTCTTTGGGTTTGGAGGATCCCTTGTACCTTGTCCCCTTAAAACCACTTGAATCGTAGTAAGAAGGATCATCTTCGGAAATATATTCGGTACTACCCGTTTTAGGGTTGATAACTTCAATATCTTTCCAACCCTGCTTCCCTCAGCAACTCCTCAAGTTCATCTTCTCCCTCATTGGACTCCTTGAAGACGGTCTTCTTGCTCGACTCCAGGTCTTGGACGGCCTCGGCATCCATCTTCTTGAGGCTCGGAGGTGGCTCAAGGCTGAGGCTTTCGTATAAACCTTCCCTGATGGCTTGTATCTACCTTTCAAGGGGTAAACAAATGGGCCTTCAGAGACAGTAAGTTGGTTGACACGAATGACTTGAACGGGTTCGTTGAATTCCCTTTCCATGAGATCCTTCAGAGGAGCAACAAGATGCTCATTTCTCCATATGAAGCCCGGTTGAATGGCATACCCAAGAAAAATACCTGGAATTGAAGTGGGTTCAAAGCGGAGATCTTTCTTTGGTTTAAGCTTCGGCCCAATCCAGTAATCAATACGAGCCCCAAAAAGAATGTTGGGTCCCTTAAATTTCCCCCAAAACGAAGTTCTCAAGGTGACTTGATTTCAGGCTGATCCTGCATATTATGTGCCATACACCAGTGCCGCAAGGCAAAGCTCCAATAGGAGTGATGAAGCCCTGCTTGTTCAAGGTTCACTCTTGTTCCTTCAAGAACGGACCTGAGATTCCTCTCATTCGACTTAGACACATATGCTACACTAGTGTTCTGTCTCCACCCTACTTCACGACAAGCAAATTTGATGGACAGAGCGCTGTCAGAGTCAGAGTAGAACACCCCGACTTCGTCACCAGGAGCAACAAAGTGTCGAGAAGCCAAAACACAATCTTTTGCATGATTTCTAGCTGAAGGATAAACCCATCGGAAATTGGTAGCAACATCTTTCATGACCATGGCAACCCTATCACCATCAGTTGATTCTTCATTGACATCCCTAGTCACAAGATGATCACCAGTGATATGATCCCCAAACTTGGTGGATGCATCCGTCAAAGATTCCCCTTTATGTCTTTTGGTTAGTTTGTACATCTTTGCACATTTGCATGTTTCACAAAAGGGATTCTTCGGTGTGTGAGTCATCATGTGCCGACGGTAACCCATGAAAACGGAACTCGGGAATTTGGCCGTCTCTTGATGGCAAATAAGGTACGTAGTCCTTTACTTCAAGTTTTATCTTGGTTCCATCTTATTTCTTGAAGGAAGGTCGGCTAAAGCTTTTCCACACAAAATCCCACCCATCTTGAATGCACCCTTTATCCTTCAGACTCTGAGAGCCCTTCGAGGAGTCGGAACCTCGACTAGATGACCTAGAGCGATCACCTTTCTTCTTCTTCTTCCTCTTGTTCTTTCTCTCCCCACACTTGTCGTTTTGGTAGACTGGTAGACGGAGCTGCAAGCTTGGGCGGATGCTGGAATGCACGCTCACTACCACGATGACATTTTCCAGGAGACAATGAACGACTGGTGCCTCTGGAGTTGGATCTAGGTTTTCCTTTCTTACCTCCACCTTTACCTTTGTCTGACTTCTCATGTTTGTATCGGCAATCCTTACCTCTGATGCATTTGCCTGCCTGAAAATCATAGCAGATTCCCTGTGCCTTTCCAGAAAGTGACTTCTTTCTTGCCTTCTCATCTTCTCCAAGCGTTTTCTCTCCAGGAAATCCCTATAGCTGCCTTCATGACAAACTCATAAGAGCGGTTGGGGTCCCCCTCCAGAGCGCGATCATACATTGCCAGATCATGAGAGAGTGGCTTGAAGTTCTTGATTGCATTGTGAAAGTATGCTTGCTTCCACATGGTGTCAGGCTCGGAAGTCATTCCAGCGATCACGGCATCCCATCTGGTGATGAAACCCCGCAAATCATCATTGACTAGTGTCACAGCCATGACAGCCATGAGATCTTCAATGTCGTACACTTCTCCATGCCTCCTACTTGTGCTGAAGTGCTTGTGAATCATGAGAAGTGCTTGACGACCTCTAGCCGGAGTCCCTGACTTGGCCTGCTCCTCCTTGAAGATGTCCAACTGTCCTCACACACATTCGTGAGAGATGACATCAACTTGGCATCCAGTGTGACGAACTTCCCTGAATCTTTTATTGCTTCAATGGTCTGGTCTGTTTTGAAAACCTCTTCAATCCAATGAAACACTAAATCAGGTTTAGAAAAAGCAGCAATTGCGGCATCCCTTAATCCTCCAATTCCTATCGTTTTAAGGTTGTGGGAACTTAGGAACTAACACCCGGTCAGACCCTTTGGCCTTTTGGTTGGATGATCTAGATTGGCTCAATGCTTTCCTAACCTTTCGTGCAAATCACCCTTCAGAACCCGATGTAAACGTAAACGTGGAAGATCTTTGAGACGAAGAGGGTGGTGGAAAGGATCACGACGACGTCGGCGCCTTGATCTCCCTCGGCTGGATTTCTTCTTCTTCTTCTTCTTCTTCTTCTTGTCTTTCTTGGTCTTCCTTCGTCAGGATCATCATCATCTGGAGGCCCTCCACCAGGAAGCCCAGGTGGATGGAAGGGGTCTGCCGCAACGTTCTCGTCATCTGCCTCGGATGAGTGTGGCATTCTTCGGTTGCCATCACTCACCCAAAGCTAATGGTCGAGACATCTGAGAGGCTTGCGGAGGTTTCGCCCCGGGCTGATAGTTTGAATGTAGTCCAGGAGTTCCCTCCAGGGGTTGGGACTTCAAACTTCGAATCAGGTCTGTCTGTTCCTGACGTAGTTTCTCAATCTACCTCTCAAAGTCTTTCCGTTGAAGGTCCGCGAGCTTTTGCATGTCCATAGTCTGCTGGCTCAAGGCATCAATTTGATTCTTGTGGGTTGCAAGCTGGGTGTGTGTGTGTGTGTGCAGCATTCAACTCCGAACTAGCTTTCTGAAATGAAGCATTCATCATGCCTGCATTCGATTGCATTTGATGAAGTTAGGCATTCAGTTCCTTGATGCGTTGATCCTGAGACTGAACATGAATCTGGGCAGACTTATGGTCATTCATTGCTTGAGCTGCCTGTTCATTCAACTGAAGATTCTTCTGAGATATTTCCTCGGCCGCTGTCTGTTCAATGCAAGTGAGATGATCTCGAGCTTCACTCACTAGCAACTCCCTTTGACGTTCCAGGACTTCAGAGTGAAGCGCGTTGGCCTCAGTTTGAAGAGCTTGTTGTTGAGCTGTCATCAACTGTCCTGCCAGTGTAGGGTCCAAGCCTTGGTTGACGACGGCAACCTGAGCTGTTCTCTGGTCAACGCTCGTGAAGTTCACAGTGTCAAGCTGATTGTGCTCCATCCTAGCGTAAGAACCCCTGGCATCTCTCGGCGTGGGTCCTTCCTGGAAAATGGATCAAAGTCCTCATCCATGTAACTTATGTCTCCTTCAGCGGTAGCGGCTCCAGAATGGATCACCACTTCCTCCAGTCCAGTGCCTGGCACGGCTAGTGCGGCCGTGGCGTTCCCGCCCAGAGCAGGAAGCGCAAGGGGATCAGCCATGGCGAGTAAGAGGAAGTTAGAACGAGTGTGAGACGAAGGTAAACCCACCGAGGTTATTATCAACCACTAAGGACCACCAAATCAGTCCCCTGTGCAACGCACACTTTTACTTGAGGCCTGAGCCACAGTCAGCATATACTACATATGAGGTACTACATACAGGAATACTGTGCAACAACACTTTTATGCTTAAATAATCTTAAGTCTTGCTTCAGCTGGCGAATAGTCCTCTTTTTGCTGGACGATTACAGCAGCAGCAGCAGCAGCAGCAGCAGAAGGAAAAGAAACAGGAACAGCAGAAGCAATTAAAGCAACTGACAACCTCAATGATAACAGCGGCGGCACCAGAACAAGACCAATCACAAGAACCATAATCACCGCCGCAACGGCCAACAGAACCAACAGAACCAGCAAAACCCACAGAACCAACAGAACCAACATAACCAACAGAACCAACAACAGCAACAGCAACAGCAACAGCAACAACAACAACAACCACAACCACAACCACAACCACAACAACCAACAACAACCAACAACAACCAACAACAACCAACAACAACAACCAACAACAACCAACAACAACCAACAACAACCAACAACAACCAACAACACCAACCACAACAACAACAGCCAACCAACCAACCAACCAACCAGCCAGCCAGCCAGCCAGCCAACCAACCAACCAACCAACCAAACAACCAAACCAACCAACCAACCAACCAACCAACCAACCACAACAACAACAACAACAACAACAACGAAAAAACAACCACTACCCCAACCCCAACCCCAACCACCAACCACCAACCACCAACCACCATCAACCACCCACAACCGACAACCGACAACCGACAAACGACAAACGACAAACAACTACAAACAACCACAACAACCACAAACAACAGACAACCAACAGCAAACAGCAAACGACAAACAACAAAAACACAAGGACGACTTCAACCACAACCACAACAAAAACCAAGTGAGCTTCATGACACTGCACAGGAGTTTTCTTTAAACATCTTTTTGCAGCTGGTATACAGAAGCAGATGCTGCTGAACCAGCACCACGTTCCCAGTCATCTTGCCCGCTCGGACCAGAGGCCATGTCAGCTGAAGAGAAAAGCCCAGAGACAGCCGGCATTGCAGCGCCTCCCGCACGAAACAGGTCAGAGACGTCGCCAGCTGCGGGTCCACCACCCATCTCTGCTCCATGTCCATCTGGACGTACAGCAAAGGTTGCCGCCGCATGTCCTGAAACTTGGAGCATCGCATCAAAGCGTCAAACAAGCATCAAAAAGGGTCAAATAAGCATCACAAAGCAACACTATCACATTCAGACGACAAACAAGAAGGTTGGTATCCAGCCTCCAGTGTGTTCAAATCCAGCCTAGGGTACATGAGCAGCATGATAGGAACTTGCGCTGTCTCTCTGTCTTCTTGCAGTCACAGCAACAATTTGAGAAAGACACATGAGCACAGAAGCTTTCATTCAACATCTTTTTGCAGCTGGTATACAGGAGCAGATATTGCTGAACCAGCACCACGTTCCCAGTCATCTTGCCCGCTCGGACCAGAGGCCATGTCAGCTGAAGAGAAAAGCCCAGAGACAGCCGGCATTGCAGCGCCTCCCGCGCGAAACAGGTCAGAGACGTCGCCAGCTGCGGGTCCACCACCCATCTCTGCTCCATGTCCATTTGGACGTGCAGCAAAGGTTGCCGCCGCATGTCCTGAAACTTGGAGCATCGCATCAAAGCGTCAAACAAGCATCAAAAAGGGTCAAATAAGCATCACAAAGCAACACTATCACATTCAGACGACAAACAAGAAGGTTGGTATCCAGCCTCCAGGGTGTTCAAATCCAGCCTAGGGTACATGAGCAGCATGATAGGAACTTGCGCTGTCTCTCTGTCTTCTTGCAGTCACACCAACAATTTGAGAAAGACACATGAGCACAGAAGCTTTCATTCAACATCTTTTTGCAGCTGGTATACAGGAGCAGATATTGCTGAACCAGCACCACGTTCCCAGTCATCTTGCCCGCTCGGACCAGAGGCCATGTCAGCTGAAGAGAAAAGCCCAGAGACAGCCGGCATTGCAGCGCCTCCCGCACGAAACAGGTCAGAGACGTCGCCAGCTGCGGGTCCACCACCCATCTCTGCTCCATGGCCATTTGGACGGGCATCGAAGGTTGCCGCTACATGCCCTGCAGGGATACTTCATGCAGGGGAAAAACAGATACTTTAAAACTCACCAAATGTCGTCAGCAAAGCTAGATTAGAGCAATGGCAGTTTCATGGTGCGAGTGGTTCGACTTTTCAGATCGAGCCTCTGAATTGGTCAACCTCAAGAATTCGGAGAATCACACCAATTGCAAGCTTGCAAAGTTGCAACGACAAGTGCAAGGTGATGTAGCAGCGAAGGTCTAGGGTCCAAATAACAAAGCGTTAAAGCAAACTAATCTGCAGCTAATTCACAGGAGCAGATACTGCAGAACCAGCACCACGTTCCCAGTCATCTTGCCCGCTCGGGCCAGAGGCCATGTCAGCTGAAGAGAAAATCCCGGAGACAGCCGCCATTGCAGCACCTCCGTGATGGAACAGCTGAGAGCCATCATTCGCTGCAGGTCCACCACCCATCTCTGCCATATGTCCATTTAGACGGTCATCCATTGCTGGAGCTCTGCCTCCTGGCACATACTTGTAGGGCAAGAAAGTCAAAGGAACACGTTTAATAGCCTCAAAGGCCAAAGATGTCGAATGCGTGAATTTAAATAGTTCAAAAATCGATGCAATCATATGTATACTATAAATCATTGTATATGTGTTTGTGTCAAACTGCACATGTATGTATGTATGTATGTCTGTCCGTCTGCCTGTCTGTATGTATGTATGTCTGTATGTCTCTATGTCTCTATGTCTGTACTGTATGTCTGTATGTCTGAATGTCTGTATGTACGTATGTACAAATGTACGGATGTACGGATGTACGGATGTACGGATGCACGGATGTACGGATGTACGCATGGACGCATGTACGCATGTACGCATGTACGCATGTACGTCTGTACGCATGTACGTCCGTACGTCTGTACGTCTGTACGTCTGTACGCCTGTACGTCTGTACGTCTGTACGTCTGTACGTCTGTCCGTCTGTCCGTCTGTCCGTCTGTCCGTCCCTCCCTCCCTCCTTCCCTCCGTCCGTCGGTGTGTCTGCCTGTCTGTATGTATGTTTGTATGTTTGTATGTGTTTGTATGTTTTTGTATGTATTTGTATGTATTTGTATGTATATGTATGTATATGTATGTATATGTATGTGTATGTATGTGTATGTACGTGTGTGTATGTGTATCTATGTGTATCTATGTGTATCTATGTGTATGTACGTGTTTGTATGTGTATGTATGTGTGTGTATGTGTATGTATGTGTATGTATATGTATGTGTATGTATATGTATGTATGTGTGTATGTATATGTATATGTATATGTATATGAATATGTATATGTGTATGTATGTATGTATGTATGTATGTATGTATGTATGTATGTATTTATGTAAATTGTATGTATGAAATTGTATGTATGTATGTATGTACGTATGTACGTATGTACGTATGTAATGTTATGTTATGGTATGTTATGTTATGTGATGTGATGTGATGTGATGTTTTGTTATGTTATGTATGTAATGTACGTGTATACATAATATATCTATATATACTCTACATCAAATCATATATAATTAGTCGAAGGAAGTTTAGAAGTCAAACTTCCGACAATATGGACAGATGAAGAGCAGAGCTGGGCAGAGGCAGAGAGAAGAGAAGAGTAGAAGAGAGCAGATCAGAGAAGAGAAAGAGTCAGAAGAAAGAAGATGCAGATGCGCGAAAAGGTAGGAAAGTCGCGAAACACTTTGTTTTTCCAATGATTTGTGGCTCCGGAGGGTCGAAAAGTAGGCTCGCTAAAGCGGCGGGTGCGGAGCCATCTGGCCAGATGAGATATGAAAAATTGCACGCCGTTGTGGCGCGAAGCACATTTCCAAGTCAAAATGTACAAAACACACCAGGTCCGGACCACTTTTGGAAGTTGCGATGTCGAAAAAGTGCACGCCGTTGTGGCGCGAAGCACATTTCAAAGTCAAAATGTACAAAACACACCAGGGCCGGACCACTTTTGGAAGTTGAGATGTCGTTTCGCGTGGCAGGCGCAAGGGATTGTGCACCTTGTCAAAAGTGAGCAAAACGTGAGGGTTTTGTCGCATTTCCAAAAACCATGGCAGGCGTGGGACATTTGAAGAGGACCTGCAAAGATGCATTTTCCGTGACAGGCGCAGTACAAAAGACATGTCCATGAGAGATGTTAGGAGGTCAGGGCGCTGATTTCCTGAGAGGGGTTGCATTTTGGAGCATCAGATCTGTAGGTTTGCTAAGATGATTTTGCATGACAGGTGCAGCACTTCGTATGACCTGGCATCAATTTTTCGTGGCAGGCGCAGTACTTTAGACAGGTGGAGTGGAAAAATCGCAAAACGCATTGGTACGAGGCTGTCAGCGCTCCACTCAACTTTCCATTTTTGAAGGAAGTCTCGCAGAATTACTTTGTTTTTGATGTTGTCAAGTTCAAAAATTGACGAAGTTTTGCAGAATTGCTTCGTTTTGGATGTTGTCAACTTTCGAAAATGAAGACATCTCGCAGAACTGTTTCGTTTTTGGCGTTGTTAAGTTCAAAAATTGATTGTCAACTTTCGATCTCGCAGAATTGCTTCGTTTTTCCCCACCTGCCAGGTGAGGGTTGTTAGATTTTATGTCAGTTGCCTGCTCCTCTCCTCCTCTCCTCTCCTCCTCCTCCTGCTCAACCGCGACCCTCGACGCACAGTGTTCTCTGTCGGACCTCAACCACGACCATCCACGCCCAGTGTTCCCTGCCGGACCTCAACCACGACCATCCCCGCCCAGTGTTCCCTGCCGGACCTCAACCACGACCATCCACGCCCAGTGTTCCCTGCCGGACCTCAACCGCGAGTATCCACGCCAAGTGTTCCCTGCCGGACCTCATGTAGGAAGATATGGGACAAAGAATGTGCAGAAGAAAGTTAGAAAGAATGTCAGACAAGTATGTTATATTTCTGTTATATATTACTTGCAAACTCGCGCGTGTGTGGTAGAGTGACCGGGGCAATGCCACTTCTTACTTTGCAGGTGGCAAAGTTTGACGCAATCAGTTTGAACAGATGACAGAGTCACTGGGGTGGACAGAGACATTTCCACTTCTGTACCTTTGGAGCTGTTTGCAAAGACGCTTGAGACAGGCAACATCTTACAGCAAGTTACTACAAATTACTTGAAGTGATCTCATGCTGGATTGATGCTTGAGACAGTCAACATCACACAGGGTTTCTGTTGTGTATCACAGCTATGGTGGCATGGTGGATATGTGACATCGGAACATTTGTTGGAGCATTTGAGCCCTCATCTACTTTCGAAGATGCTTTCGAAGATGCTTTGGATCCAGACATCGATGGGGAGGTTCGACTGAAGGCTGGAGATGCACCCTTAAAAGTACATCATCCACTGACTTCATCGCAGCGTTCGCAAGCCATGACTTTTCATCGTCAAAAGCATACCAAGTTTGTGCGCGACATGATTTCTGCGGGCCTTTTGCCCTTGACAGGGGATGAAGAAGCGTTGCATAGAACTGCGGCCTACAAGCGCGCGAGTGGCACTGCAGTGAATCCACGAGCAGAACAACTGAGGTTGAAAGAGAAAGCGCCCATGATCACGCAGCCGCTACTGGATGCTCAGCGCGCCGCCATGACAAATGATAGCATGGGCCTCAGCCGCTTGTCGGCGGAACGGGCTGCTACGAGCGACTGCGCAGAGCGCGCAGGAGAGCTGGCTGCAAACAGTGATGTCGCGATTCCAGAAGCAGAATGGCGCACCTTTAGCAAGCCATCTGCAGCGATGGCGCGGAAGGTTGCTGCGTTTGAAAAGTCTGCCGGTGGATTCAAGCTGGCGCCGGAGCAATTGTCTGCTTGCAGATGGTTTGGTGAGGCAATGGATGTAGCTTTACAGGAAGAAGAGAACAAAACACCTTTGCGAAACCGTGCGCAGCACGCATGCCTTTTGATTGGCGCCGGTGGCACTGGCAAGACGACAATCATTTTAGAGCTCATGCTGGATGTTTTTTGTCGCTTTTTTCCAGCCAGACCCGGAGAAGAAGAGCGATACATGATTGCCACCTTCAGCCACGCCCAATCGGATGCCATTTCCAATGATGTCTATCGCGCGCGAACATGTCATACTGCTTGCTCGTATCGTGTAGCCAGTTTGCGCAACAAGCATTTGGCCTTGAAGACAAAAGAGCAAGAGATGAAACAACGCTGGCAGCCTAAAATTTTGGTCATTCAAGATGAAATCAGTTTGGTGCCAGCTGCAGTGGAAAACATGATGCTTTACCGCAGCATGCGCGCCCGTCAAGATGAAGGCCTTGATCCAGCCAGCTATTTCCACCCAGGAGAGCTCATGGGACACATACCAATTTTGCTGATTGCAGGTGATTTTTTGCAGATCAAGCCTGCCAACGAGATCTCCTTAGCTGACAATCTCGAAGAGCTGATCCGCAAAATGCCGCACAGAGTGCAGACAGAACACCATGCTGCCCAGGCGGCATTGATGACCATTGATACAGTGATTCATTTGAAGAAGTCGAAGCGGTTTCTGGATGCTCACCTGCCAGAAATCACAACAGCCATGCGCACGTGCACGCCTGCTGCTCCTTTGTCCGAGGATCACTTGGCTCAGCTGCGCACTCGCAAAATCGAAAATTGCAAGAAAGAACTAACCACGGACTTGTTCAAGCATGGTCACGTCATTGGAATGTATTGGGAGAACATTGCTCGCAGCATGGTGGAACGGGCAAATCGAGATGCGCAAGACCTGGATGTGCCGTTATTTTGTTTGCAAGCTGCTGACCAAAGGCATTCCAGAAAAAATAAAGCCATAGACAAGCAGCTGACACATCAGCTGCTCACTGTTCCAAACCCGCATCGCACTGGCAAATTGCAAGGCATGCTACTGGTGCACGAGAACATGGTTGTGCGACTGGCGGATGTCTTGGCTCCACACCTTGGATTGGTTAAAGACAAACTGGCAGTGGTAGTGAAAGTGGATTTGCACCATGAAGATCAGAAGCGCCTGGACCGTCGGGAACCTGGATTCTG